GGGATCGCAACCCTCAGTGTTGCCCCCGTACCGGACCGTGGACCGGCAACGGGATCGCAACCCTCGGTGTTGCTCCCGCGCCTCGCCCAGGCAGTGAGCGGGAACCAGTCTGTATGTGGGATCCGAACCCTCGGGCGGGAGCGCCGCTGCGCTTCCCAAGCGACGCACTTATCCAGTGCGCCACCGGGCCGGCCCTCAAAGGTGTTTTTGTTGTCTTGACACTATTACTCTATAATCAATAGCTCTTTTAAAAATTATAATATACTACGTATATAAAATAAAAATCTAATGCTGTAAAAATCTCAAAAATGTCATGTTAGTAATGTTGATTATCTAAAGAACTTTGCTCCATGAAACAGCTTTGAATATTTATTGCCCAGATGGATTAAAAATATTCTTAAATGTAATGTGGCAATGGTCCCAATACATTTGTAAACAGAATACCACTAAAGTAATTTTATTGGCATGAAACACTATACCTAAGGTTGTGCGAAATTTTTTAATCTTAAAGCCTCTTAACATAATCATATATATCTATGTACAAAACATACATAAATTTCACTTTATTTAAAACATATGAAAGAGGTAATTTCAAATCACACTAAACATAATAAATATAGAACTTGTTTTGTTAAAAATCTACAGTATACATTCAAGTAAAGGCTAAACTTCCAATGCCAACTATATTTGAGACAAAAATTAAACATTTACAATAATCGGTTTCCTAAAAGTGCTATTTTTAATACCTATAAGAGGAAACTCTTTCTAGTGCTTTTGTTTCCATCCAAATATCTATACATTCCTTCATTCACAGAACCAGATGCTTCTGTTACTAAAAATACATATCCAAAGCTTTTATATCCTTTTAAATAGATTTAACATTTCAGCTCCTTGAGGGGAAGACAGGGAAATCCAAACAACTCAGACCAACTTCAATTATTAGAGATGACTGACTTTATGATGCACCCTGTTTCAACTGAGATGTGAAATTTGATGAACATGTTAATGAAAAAACTTCCAGTCCACACGTCTAAGGTAAGTCATCTTTTTCTACATGAGAATTTGTGTAGGTCAAGGAGCATCCACTACAGCAACCTTCCTGTGGTCCAGGTCCTGATGAAATGCTCTACTTCTGATTTGTACATTCTCTTCCAACCTGATTTGGTTTAGTTTCTTCAGGAGTTATATTCAGTACATTGACTGAACTGTTGGGAAAAGAAAGGTAGATCTTATGATCACTTTTATCTATCCATCTATTTATTTTACTTATACCTGTTGTCTACTTGGAAGCATGCTGCCTAACTGAGGCTCAAGGTAGATAGGAAACATGAGGGGTTTTGAAAGCTAATGTTTCCACGTCCTCATCTGCCACTATTTCCTAATCTCTCTATGGTTTCTTTCTTTACCTATTTGTTCAAGCACGCTTTCATCTATCCATCCATCCAGACACTTAATGCTTAATGATGCCTACAAAAGTGGTTAAGAGACCAGACTCTGAAGCCAGATTGTTTTGGTTCAACCAGCCTCCAAATGAAGAAATTTGCTTAAATGACTACTTAAAAATCTATGGAGTTGAGTCAATGAATAATACATTTTTATCAACTGAATATCTTATGTAATTTTTTCACAAAAACTTTTCTAATTTGCACTTCTTGTGACTTTTGTTTACTAACATGACCTGTTAACATGGCAATCCTAAAAAAAGTTGCTTTTAATTGTAAAAATCTAAACCAAAAACCTAATTAAAAATTTTACTTACACTTATTTACCAATACTTCAAAAAATAAAAATAAAAAAAAGAACTTACTTAAAATAATTCAGTTCTCATAATCCTTGTACCTCAGAAGTGTCTCTTCTATAAGTAACTTAGTACTTGAGTTACCTGGCATGGAATCCAAGGCACAGTCTTTTCTTTTTTTTTTTTTTTGTCTTTTTTCGTGTCCGGCAACGGATCGCAACCCTCAGTGTCGCGCCCGTACCGGACCGGGACCGGCCACGGGATCGCAACCCTCGGTGTTGCTCCCGCCCCTCACTCAGCCAGTGAGCGGCCGGTCTGTATGTGGGATCCGAACCCTCGGCGGGAGCGCCACCGCGCTTCCCAAGCGGCGCACTATAGCAGTGCGCCACCGGGCCGGCCCCAAGGCACAGTCTTTATGTAAAATTCCTTTCTATAGTGAAGGAGCAATGAGGATGTTGTAGAAATTAGCTATAGATACTCCTAATTAATTGGCTGTAATCTTATTACAAACCCAGCTCCAAGATGCTTCAGGAGTAAGAGATCCAAATTTATCAAATAATTCAAAGTTTCAAGAACCATGTCAAACTGCAGAGCTTTTCTATTAGTTACCAAACTCTTTTCTGCTTCTTTTATTCTCAGAGGCTAGTAATGATGAATAGCTTTACAGAGTTCCTTTAAATTTCAAAATTCTATTTCTATGCCACTGATGATGTTTATTGTGGTCCTCAGAATACAAGGCCACGGGATCACAACCCTCGGTGTTGCTCCCGCCCCTCACTCAGCCAGTGAGCGGCCGGTCTGTATGTGGGATCCGAACCCTCGGCGGGAGTGCCACCGCGCTTCCCAAGCGGCGCACTATAGCAGTGCGCCACCGGGCCGGCCCCAAGGCACAGTCTTTATGTAAAATTCCTTTCTATAGTGAAGGAGCAATGAGGATGTTGTAGAAATTAGCTATAGATACTCCTAATTAATTGGCTGTAATCTTATTACAAACCCAGCTCCAAGATGCTTCAGGAATAAGAGATCCAAATTTATCAAATAATTCAAAGTTTCAAGAACCATGTCAAACTGCAGAGCTTTTCTATTAGTTACCAAACTCTTTTCTGCTTCTTTTATTCTCAGAGGCTAGTAATGATGAATAGCTTTACAGAGTTCCTTTAAATTTCAAAATTCTATTTCTATGCCACTGATGATGTTTATTGTGGTCCTCAGAATACAAGAAACAGAAAAGCAGTTTTATAATACATTTGTTTACATATATTTTAGTTTTTATAGCAATTCACTAAATGTTTACAATGAACCAGGTACTGTTTTAAATGCTTTACATATATTAACACTTAACTCACAATAAAGGTAACATATCTGTGTAATAAAATACTCAGAGCTTACATCTTACAATCTTTTGACTGTAAATTAAAGGTTTACTTCCCATATTCAAATCATCAATTTGTTGGCTCTAACTTTAAAATATATCAAAAATCTAAGCATTTCTATCTTCACATAATGACCCTGGTCCAAATTACCATCACCTTTCACTTCAACTCCAGTAATACCTCCTAACTGAATCTCCTGGCTTATATTACTGACTCTTATAATCTACTTTCCACATAATAAAACAGAGTACAGGTTTAGCATCCCTAATCTGAAAATCCGAAATCCAAAATGCTCTAAAATCTGAAATATTTTGAGTGCTGACTTGACCCCATGGATGGAAAATTCCACATCTGACTTCATGTGATGGGTCATGTTTCATGAACAAAATTATTAAAAATATTGTATAAAATTACCTTTAGGCTATTTGTATAAAGTGTATATGAAACATAAATGTATGTAGTGTTTAGACTTGGGCCTATCCCCAAGATATCTTATTTGTATATGCAAATATTCCAAAATCTGAAAAAAACATCCAAAATCCAAAACACTTCTGGTCCCAAGCATTTTGGATAAGGGACACTTATAACCTGTATTCTTTTTAAAACCTAGATTTTTTTTTCACTCTCCTGCTTAAGATTCTCTAATGCTTTTCTATTGCTGTTATAGCAATATTTGACCTACAAATACAGGCTAAAACATTTTACAAATGAAATCCCATATATGTGCTGGGTCAGAGGGGCAAGCAGAGTGGGTTTATATATGAATATTAATCATGAGTTAATAACTGCTAAACCTGAGTGATGGGTACACAGGGGTTTGTGACCTTATTCTCTCCACATTCGTACATATTTGAACTTCTACATCTCTCCATCCTCATCTCATGCCTCTAGGTCTTGCTCACTAAGTACACTGGCCACTGCAAATGTACCAAGTGTGTCCCACCTCAAGGTCTCTATGCTTGACTGGAGTGCTCTTACCCAGCTCTTGAACTTCTACATCTCTCCATCCTCATCTCATGCCTCTAGGTCTTGCTCACTAAGTACACTTGCCACTGCAAATGTACCAAGTGTGTCCCACCTCAAGGTCTCTATGCTTGACTGGAGTGCTCTTACCCAGCTCTTTTTTTTTGCATCACTCCCCCAAAAAATGCTTAGTTGGAGTGCTAATCCCCCCACCTTTTAAAAGTCATGGACTTTTAAAAAAAAATCCTTCCATTTAGCAGTTCTGGCCCTTGCTTCAACACTTACTTCCACACCAGTCTCTCCCTATCACAGGCTAAGTTTGCTGCAGCTCTGGCTTTAAGACCACTGTCTCCTACATGAATTAAGAGGAAAGTTATTATCTCCACACCTTCCAACTTTCTAATATCGTTATTATTATTCTATTCCTCTCTATCTCACTAGAAATGTTCTATCTGCTTCCTTTGCTTACTTCAAAATTAATCCTATTTCTATTCCTCTGTCTCACTAGAAATGTTCTGCTTCCTTCAAAATTAATCTTGAAATAGGCTCTAAAATAGAGAACTGACATTATATCTTAGAAAATGGTTTAACAACACGAGAGAGGAAAATACCAAAATGTACCAATTAACAGCAATATATGGGTTTCCTAGGGGTGGGGAGCAAACTTTTTTCACACTATCACCCTTGGGCATAGATCTTCTTTATCACTCAAGATGAATAGGCTTTTCTCATTCTTTGCCCTTCAACACCAATAAAATGGGCATACAAAAAGAAATTTTAAAATACATACACACAAAAAAGTCAAAATAGTATCCTCCTATTTAATGCAATTATAGTTCTTAAAATTTTAAGTTAACTCCTGTAAATAAAGCTATACTTTGTGTTTTAAATGTGAAATAAAAAGATACACGTTATATGACTCCGCTCCAAGACACAGGGAGCAGATCTTCCTTGTTTACTAGTGTATTCCCACCACAATGGCTGTATATGCTGGACTCCCCATAAAAACGTGTAGAATAAATAAATATACTAAATTCCTCCCCAAAGCCTTTATTGTGACTAATACCACAGACATCCCAACTTCTCCTCAGAAGTACAACTTTAGTAATTTTTAGAAATATGTGAAAAGACTACCTATAGACAAATACCTATGTTCAGATACACAGGAACGTGTCTGGCAAAAGTCTGAAGTTGAGGGTGAAGCAGGAAGAGACTTAGTGAGTTTAGCTGTGCAAACTGGAGACCCATTAGACACACTATGAGGCTTCTTTTGCCGTTGCCTCGAGTGCACCAGAAGATTGTCCAGATCAGAATCTGTTGGGAAAAAGATTGTCCAGATCAGAATCTGTTGGAAAAAAAAGGAAGAGAAAAAAAGCAGTACACATGGTGAGGTATTAAATACTGGGAAGGTCATGAGGATGATTCATTTGCTGTTCTGAGTGAGGAATGTGACAGAACAAATTAATTTGAATATCGCTAATCTTGCAATCTTTATTGCACATTCCACAAACATTTAGAAGGATCTAGTTTTAAAAATAATATTTCTAGATTGTGAATTTTCAGAAAGTTGACACTATTACACACTCATCCCCAAAATTACTTTTGGTATGCATACTCCTCCCGTCATCCCCATTTTGACTACAGTAAATAAAATATTAAAGTTGATTTTTAGTTCCAATTACAAAGCTCTTACTGGTGAACTCCAAAGTTTTATATTAATAATCTGTCGTATTTTATTTATATAAAAAGTTTATGAAATACTCACTTCCTGAGAAGGCACTGAAAAGTTTCATATTTTCTGAGTTCTGGTGGTCAAAGGTAGTCATATTTAAAAACTGTTGCTTTAACCAACTGGCTCTTTCTTCTTCAAATGCCTTTCTCTACCATAACAAACAAACCAAAAAAATAATGGTCAGTATTTCAGCACCCACACAGTTTCCATTTCACAAGATTTCTCTAGCTATCTGCTTGCTCTCTGGCTACCTATATAAACTTATGTCAAATGAATTAGCTTAGAGAACTACGAAAAGTTTCATTAAAAAAATACTTTAAAATAAACCAACAGTCACTATTTTCACACCAAGTTTGAATAAATTCAAATGGACAATGAAAAAAGGAAACAAATATTAGCATAACTCCTGAAAATATGGAACATTATAAATATAAAATTACAAACAACAGAAAAACACCCTACATTGTAAATTAATCACTTGAAAAAAAAAAAAAGGACATATGGCTCATCAGGCATCTCTCTCATCCTCTAGCCATCTGCTAGTACTAGCAGCCACAACCACTAAACCACATGCAGGTTACATCAAACCTCCCCTTCTAAACAGCTGATGAATCCTAAACTAAATTCTCCCTCACCCTTTACGTCTCTCATTCTTCCTTCCCATGCCCCTCACTGTCCCTACTGTCCCCAGGGACCACAGGCAGGGAAAGGCAGCAGGCCACTGACAGCAAGAGTATCTCTTGGAGTAGTATTAGGAATATGGGTTCAGATACAGGGGTGATCCCATAAGATAGGAGAAACTTGCTGGCACAAACTGTTTGTTTCCTGAGGAAGGTAGCTACTGGTGAAACTGACTTCCATTACTATGGAAGAAATCCACGTCAGCTACTTAAAATAACCAACATGTAGTCTTTCATTTATAAATATTAATACAGAATACTGTTATCACCAGACATTTGAAGAAAACGAATAGTGTAAGAGGAAAAAGGGCCAACATTAATAGAGACAACTGACCATGGATAATAAATAATCCAAGAGATGGAAGAAACTTTTTTTAAAAATTGTAAAATATTATCAGACAAATAAACATCTGTAAAATAATATAATGCTATTAATACAAAAGTTAAGGGCATTAGAAAATTTAAAAGATAAATTCTGAAATAAAAACTTAATTGGCTAAAAAGTAAATAATAAAACTGACCCTGAAGACCAGTTTGGTGATTCCTAAGATAAAGGTAAGAGAATATCCAGAATTTAGAACACAAAGTCAACCTATAGATAAATTCAGAGGGTCAAACATTTGTAGGTAAGACAAATATCTAATAAAAGTTCCAGAACACAGAAAAGTCAAAGAAAGAAAAAATAAAATTCCCTAAATTCAAGAAATATAGAATCTTCAGGTTGAAAGGAACTATTCTAGACATAGCCTGGTAAAATTTCAGAGCTTTAAGAATAGAAAATCCCCAAAACTCCCAGAGTAGAGAACAAAAATCAAAACAAAGGGTTATCTAGAAAATAATATAGGTTATGTTACAATCAGCCTCCTCATTCAGAGCTTTAAGAATAGAAAATCCCCAAAACTCCCAGAGTAGAGAACAAAAATCAAAACACAGGGTTATCTACAAAATAATATAGGTTATGTTACAATCAGCCTCCTCATTAGCAAAACAAAACATTAGAAGAAATAGAACAACTCTTTTAAAGTTTTGAGGGAAAAATTTGGAAATCCAGCCAAACCAATCAAGTATGAATATACTTCTGGATATTCCAGGATTCAGAATGTTTATCATTCATACACTATTTATGAAAAAATTACTCAAGAAGGTAACATAGCAAACTGAAAAGGAACCTAAAAAAGAATAACATGAGATGTAAGGACATGGCAGCTGAATCTGATTGCAGAAATCACAAAGGAAGCTACAAAGAAAGTCAAAGAATTCACTAAACAGTGATACATTTCTTCTGGGTGACAAAGTCTTAATAATACAGAATATTTTCTCTTCTATGTGTCTAAACATATTTGGGTATAGAATTAATAATATTTACATAATCATGTCATTAATATTCTTTCTTAGTTTTCAATTTTTAAGTCTAAACTTTAGACAAAATACTTATACCTGGATTATATTATAGAATATAAATGTAATAACACTTAATGAAAAATAATGTCATAAACAACAATTACAAAGTACAGAGTCAAGCAGAGGTGAAACAAGGGTAACTACAAGAATTTCCTCATCTTTCACTGCAGGGATAAGTTGATATTGTCTGAAGTTCAGCCATCACGAAATGGAAACATTACATATATTATTTATTTAAAGTAAAAAAAGGTAACCAGAAGAACAAAAGTAACAATATTACAAAGGAATCAGATGTAGATGAAGAAGAGTGTAGGTGGCAGGTACTATAAGGACACTAAATTCCTTATCTTTCACAGCAGGGATATAAATAGACTGATATCAAGAAAAAAAAGTTGAAATATATTAAAGTTAAAATACTACAGAAGAATTGCCAACAGAAACTTAACAATGGTTACCTCTTAGTAATGAAACTGGGGATAAGGGAACATTTTTTCATTTGCATCTTTTTGCATAGGTTTGGTTTTTTTTTTAAACCATGTTCAGATATTACTTATACAATTTTTGGAAGAGAAATATGTAGTCAATACATTAAGTTAAAAAAAAAAAGCAAGCTGTTGAAGTGTATATATATATATAACAATGCAATCCATTACCATGGATGGATGAAGGATCGGAAACAGAGGAAACTATTTTTTACTGTACTTCCTTTTTTTTTTTTTTTTTTTGTAAATTACAAAGATGCTCTTGGCTGCACTATCTTCTGATACCACACATACTGATAGTGGAAAAAGGACAGATGCCCCAAAGACATTTCTTGTGTGAAACTAAACACATAACAGTAGAAAGCCAATCTGAAAGGGATAATTAAAGCTTATAGCTTTCTAAAAATTTTTTCAATTGCCAAATCTGGTAAAGGGAAAAAGATATTATTCTATAATTCATGTGCTCAGCCTCCCTTCCGTTTGAAGTTATTTATGAGATGACCAGTAAAATACTTCAGAAAAAATTGGATATCCAGAAACAATTAAAAAAAGAACTTAAAAGCATTCTACTGAGGCCTCCTCTCCCTCAATTTTCAAAAACTCTACAATTGTTTAAAATACCTCCAATCCTAGGCGAATAGCAGCTTCTGTAAAGCTTCTCCTTTCTCTCTCAAAATTCTTTCTTTGTTCTTTAAATAGAGACCATTCTTCTTTGAGGCGTTCCTTTTCTTCCAACAAATAACAGTCTCGTAATAGTGAAGTGGTATCATCATCACATGCAGTAGCAAGCTGCTGCTATTAAATTTTAAAACATAGTAAATTCCAGAGGGTCCCCACAACACTCCAAGTTGACATGAAAGCAAGGGAAGGCAGGTCAAACTTTAGGGCAAGGACAGAAATGATAAAGAATCAGAAAGTCAAAAGAGGATTCTCATTTCCTAAATGCTACTACCCCCAAATGGCAAAGCATGGACTATTTAAAGAATGGTATGTAATGTATCTGTTAGCAAAGAACTTAGTTTAGACACGAAAAAATGCCAAGTACTACAGATCTTATAAAATAAAGGAATAAAAATCTAGTAAGATTCAGTAATATTCTGACCTATCACAGGGAGAACATCTTTAAAAGGTAATTTACTTTTACCTGTAAAAGTTGTTGCTGAGTTTTAATCATTTCTTTACATTGCTGAATTTCTAACTCGAGTTTTTCAGTTTCTTGTTCATGGTCTTGTCTTGAGATTACATCTTCATCATTAAAACCTTCTAAGTGTACCTTTGAAACTAACAAAAACCCAGTAAGTTGGTATAGGCTTTGCAGCCACCATTTAA